AAGACAATTTGTCTCCATATTTTTCTTAGTGGTGGATATCCATACCCTCTTATTTAAATGGTGAACTTGGGGAAAAACTTAGATGCAGTGTAGCTGTGAATCTTTATAAGTTTATTTTTAAAAAAATATTAGGTGGAATTCGAAACCTCATACCTCTAAACTTACATAAAAAGCATACCTCCAAACTTACATAAAAAGTTCCTAATAAGAGGATGGTAGCCACTTAACCACTGAAACGTTGTCAAATTTTTATTAGTTATGTTATCATAGGATTAAAATCCGGAATAATCACCAATCAACTTGATAAGGCCACAGGTGATTCCCATCGCCACCCATCCTCCCACCACCACCCTAAAAGATGACTTGTAAACCGGTGCACCGCCCAGCACAGCACCTAACGCACCGAACATTAACAAGGCTAAGCTCACCACCGCAACCACCACTCCCAACCTCACTTCATACTTCTTTATAGCAGCCCCCCCAAGCAGTGGTACTGCTGCCCCAACGGCGAAAGACAGGGCCGACGCACCAGCAGCTTGCAGTGGACAAGGCAGATTCTTTTTCCTCATCTCTAAATCATGATCATCACAATTTCTTAGGTTGATATCTCTCTTGATTTGAGCCTTTTCAATGTCACGCTGTGAGTAAACTGAAACGAACTCACCAATGGCCATGCTGCAAGCGCCGGCTACGAGACCAGCGATCCCTGTGAGTATCATGGACTTGATGTCCTTGCGCACGGCCCCAATGCCCATCATTAGAGAGGCCGTGGAAAGCAAACCGTCGTTTGCTCCTAAAACCGCAGCTCGGAGCCACGGTGCCCTCTTGGAGTAATCTAAGACGTTAACTTCCGTATCTTGATTGTCTCCTCTCTCCATGGAGTTTGGTGATTTGGTGTCTTGAATGCATGGCAGTTGGATCTCAGGATGAGGCAGAGCGGAAGTGGATGCCATGGGAGAAGAAAATGGAGGAAGGAAATGAGAGAAAAATTGATTGTGGATACCAGATATGGATGAGTGTGGAAAGCACACTCTCCCTATTTATACACACAGCATTTGCCCAATTTCCAGGGTGACATGGGGCATGACCAGGGGCGGAGCCAAGAATTTTAGCTAGGGGAGGTCGGTTTTTTAAATATTAAAATAATGTATTGTAATTTAAAAAATTTACTTTCATATCATATATTAAAATAATATTTAACAAGTTTTCATGTTATAAAATCTATTTATAATATTGTTTACACTAAATGACTAAATTATTTCCTTTTTAGTATAAACAATCAAAGAATTTGAAAAAGATTCATCATCCGTTTTGCTGTGAAGTCTCATTTTCACAATTTTCATAATAGAAAATATTTTTTCTGTTATTGCTATAGAAATTAGAAGGGTAAACATGAAAGTAATTAACTTGTAAATAAGATTATAAACCTTTAATTTTCTTGTCTCCATAAGTGATTAACAGAATTCAAAAATACGACAACATTTTATCTTTTCACCCTACCACTTTATACAAGCAAACAAATTTTTTTTCCTTTTTACAAGCTAATTATACTTTATACGAGTTTATCTTCCTTTTATACTAATTTGTGTTCCTATTGCTTTTCTGACTATATCAAAGGTTTTTCCTTTTATTGGATTCATATATGTTCCCTTTAAGGATTTTTACTTTTTTTTGTTCAATTTTTTTACTCCGATCTAATTCTATTCCATATAATTTCAATATAATTTTAATATTACCATAATATTTAATTTTATTTGAATCTCAACAACTCTAAATCTTAAAAGGAAATTATACAATTTTTTTGATAATAAAAAATCCATAAATTTCATTACTTAAATATTACTCTCTCCGTAGTAGAATAATAGATTTTTTTGTTTTATCTTCAAATGAAA